GATGTTACCCTAAAGCAGATGCTGTGTCACTTTTTCACCACTGCCTCACCCCATCTGCACTTTAAAATCCCCCAAATTCCTAATCTCGTTATATTGATAATTTAGTTTTGATCAGCATTCATGGTTTACATGAGCACAACTACATAAAGATTAATTATAGCTCAGCCATGTAATATACTCTACTTTGACTTTGCTGTGTAATATTTTGTTGTAGGTACTTGGAGTTATTGTCTTTATTTTTTGTACCATAGTTTTCTATGAACAAAACATGAACTTAACCCTAAAGTCTCCACCAACTGTCTTAATCTCTTTTGAGTATGTTTTTTTACTTTTGAAGAAGTCTATTTAATCTAGAAGAAATCTGTCCTGACACTTCTGACCTATTCCAATTTTTTTCTCCTTTCATCGTCATCCCGAGGAACCCCTTTGCCTCTATCTCTTTTTTTCTGTGTTCCATGTTTTTCTCTTCATCAGGATTTACTCTCTTGTTTTGGTGGCACACAGTCTTCAGTAGCTGGCTCAGGTAGAATATAAGGAAAGAATCTTTTTTGAGACCTCCCATACCTTGGAATGAATCTGTCCTCATGTTTGATAGTTGTGCTGGATATGTACTTCTATGTTGGAAATTACTTTCCATCAGGCACTGCTCCATTGCCTTTTAGCTCCTGGTGTTTCATCTACTTGGCAGGACTCTTATGTTTTCTCTGTGCCTGCTCACAAGAAGCTTAGCACTGGTGGAGAAAGTCAGGGCAAGAAGGCTGGTCCCATTACAAACTTATGGTTACCAACATCAACTGGACTCTCAATAGTAGCATTTCATTCTTTTACAGATGCAAAGATGATTTAGAAATCTCTGTAAACAAATAAACAAGTAAACAAAAATGAAACCTTTCTACTTCCCTCAAACCTCCAGCAGCTCTCCTTCCTCTACACTTTCAACAGATACCTTTGTACTTTGACTCTTTTGGGAAAAATAAAAGCCATCAGATTAGATTCCCTTGTGTTCTAGGAATGAAACCTGCAAACTGACCTATATTTATACCAACCTGTTTATCATCTGATGAGCTATATCTCGTCTACTTGTTCATGCTTTTAAAGCCTTGTGATATTGATTTCTTCTATACAGTGGGGCCTTGCCTTACGAGTGTCCCGACTAACGAGTTTTTTGAGATACCAGCTGTCTCTCCGCTGATTTTTTGCATTGAGTTGATAGAGTAATTTGAGTTAACGAGCTCCTTAACGAGCTCGGTCTTAGAACGAATTAAACTCGTAAGTCAAGGCCCCACTGTATATGTATTAGATCAGTCACCCAAGCTACCAGCCAACCAGCCCAATAAACAACGAAGAGTTCTTCCTCTACCCATGTTATCCTTCAGCTATTGCTCTCTCTTCCCATTCTCAGGCAAACTTCTCCCAAATTGTTGTCTTTGTTCCTTATTTCGTTAGCTATGTTCAGTCTTTCACCACTCTTTCTGGCTTTCTTGTTAAGATCCCAGTGACCTCCATCAAAGTGTTTTGACCTCCCTTATTGTTAAAATATGATCATACTTTCCTTTTTGAAATAGTCTTTTTTTCCTGGGTATGCATGACAAAACTTTGTTTTGTTTTTCCTCTCTTACTAACTCCCTCTATCTATCTCCTTTCCCATTATACTGCTATCTACTGTGAGAATTTGTGAAAGATTCTTTCCTTGATTCTCTTTTCTTCTTGTTTATTTTCCTAGACAGTCCTACCCATGCATATGGTTAGAATGACCACCTACAAACAACACATTTGAATCTCTAGCCAAGATCTCTTTTTTCTCAACTCCAGACCCATATATCCAACTGCTTACTTGACATACCTCCTTGGGGGTATGAATAGCACTTCAAACCCAGTATGTCCAATTCAAGTTCATCTTTCGTCCAATGTAGTAAGCTCTGTCCCAGTGTTTCCTATTGCACTCAATGGAACCCATCTCTCTACAATTATGTTAGCCAGGCACTTAAGAGTTATTCTTGAATTTCCCTCTCTATCACCCCATTCTGAATCCATCGCCAATCTACTTGGTGATATTTACCATAAAAATATTTCTCAAATCCTTTCACGCCTCTCCCTTTTCACCACTCTAGGTAAGCTACTAGCAACATCTATTATTTAAACTACCTAAATAGTCTCTTAATTGGTTCAACTACTTCTGTCCTCGTCCTTCACCTGTTTTCTATACTATAGCCACAGTCATTTAAAATAAACACTAATCTGAGTACATCATCTGCAGTGGTTCTCAACCTTCTGGCCCTTTAAGTACAGTTCCTCATGTTGTGACCCAACCATAATATTATTTTCATTGCTACTTCATAACGGTAATGTTGCTACTGTTATGAATCGTAATGTAAATATCTGATATGCAGGATGGTCTTAGGCGACCCCTGTCAAAGGGTTGTTCGACCGCCAAAGGGGCCGCGACCCACAGGTTGAGAACCACTGACTTAGAGCCATACAGGTGGCTTCTTTCTATCTAAGGATAAAGATAAAAATTCCTTAACTTGGCTTATAGGGCTTACATGATCTACTCCTTACTTATTTTTCCTGCCTTTGTTAGCACCATCTAATGGTTTGTTTTCTTGTGCCAGCTATGGTGCTCTTCTTTCAGTTTCTCCATAGAAGAATGCATACTGCCTCCTTCAACCACAGGATCCTTGCTTATGCCGATCCTATTGAGAGCCAATGTAGATTAGTGGCTAAGTACAGAGCACCTGACGTCTAATTTCCAAGGAAGACTGCTTGGGTTCTAATCCAAATTTTACAACATAGTTGGTTGTGCAACCTTGGGTCAGTTATTTTAGCTTCCATGCCTCAGTTTCCTCCACTGAAAAACAAGGATAATTGTAGGGATGTTATGACTGAACGATCATTTGCAGGGAAGGTTCTTCCCCTTTCTTGCCTAGTTAATTTCTTTTAAAAATACATTTTTATTGTTTTTAGAGAGGAAGGGAGAGATAGAAACATCAATGATGAGAGAGAATCATAGATTGGCTGCCTCCTGCACCCCAATTCCTCCACTGGGGATCCACCCTGCAACCCTGGCATGTGCCCTGACTAGGAATCAAACCATCTCTTGGTTCATAGGTCGACGCTCAACCACAGAGCCACACCGGCCGGGCTCTTGCCTGGTTCATTTCTGTGCAAACTTCCATTTTCAGCTCCAGAGTCACTGTCTTTGAGAAGCCTCCACTGACTTCTCTGAGGTCAAGCCAATTACTCCATGATAAGATTTCTCATATCCAGAGTCTCTTATTTGTAATGCTTAATATAGGTGCAATTTAATATTTTCTGAGCAAGTTTATTTATTTTTGCTCAACATTCTATCTTTCTCACTAGAACATCAGCTTCAGGAATGAAGTTTGCTTTTGGTCACCATTCTTTGGGCCTAATTCAGTGCTCGGCATGTAGTACATTCCCATAAAATCTTTATTGCCAGAACAGACGGTAAATATCCCTGATGCTAGGCTCCTTGATAACTTCTTTTGGTGCTTGAATTCGTGCTTTGCACAGCAATTAATGAGTTCAGAACATACCGAGGTGAATCAAGCAGTTAGCTTGTACTTCCTGCACCTGGTCTTCAGCAGGTGAGCAAGCAGGAGGGTTCTCTGCTCAACAAGGCAGGTTTTTGTGAAGATTAGGTGTTAAAACACACACCTGGGTTTGATTCTTGTCTTTGTTATCTGTTGCTGTGTGACCTTAGTCCTGTCTTTTGACTTCCCATAGCCTCAGTTTTCTCCTCTGTCAGTTACAGCATAGTACCCAGCCAGTCAATTGTTAACTAGGCAATTGAACCCATAAGACTTCTGATTAACCTCAAGCATGGTACACGATTATGCATGGCCCCTCGCCAATGAGATGGCTTGCCTCTCATGTGTGTTAGTAAGCTTCCCCCTGGGGGGACAAACTACTATCCCATCCCTCCCTTCAAAAAAAGTAAAATTGTTGTGCTTTTGGTCACAAACCAAAAGAGAGTATGAATCAGTATTAAATGGGAAAATAGAGTTCCAAGGGCATCCCTAGTGCAAACAAGTTTCTTCTTTCCTGGTACTTCAAGTTTGAGGGTAGCAATGGGAGGGCTGGCCAGGGCAGGTAGGATCAGAGGTTCATTTCTGGTAGTCATCTGTGAGACACTGATCTCGAGAACAGAGAAGAGCCCCCAGCCCCTGACAGGAGAGTCAGGGATCAGAAAACCACCATTGCGATCTCAGAGCCTTTTTTCCCCCCTCCTGCTCCCTCCCTCCCCTCTGCTTTTTTTTTTTTTTTTTTCATAATAAGCTGAATCCATTCCTTGGGAATCACATCGAAAGTGACCCCGTCATTATTCAAGAAAACATTCCCTTTCCTCGCCATAAAAAGAGTAAGCCTCGTGTCCACCTCGTGTGCAGCTGGCCACTTTGCTGCATGAGAGGAGCGATCTGATTTTGAGCCCTTAGTGGAGGAATGAACTGCATGGAGGCAATGACCACAGTGATGTCTGAGAGATGGGCATTGATTGCTTCTTCCGCAAGCCTTCTCTCTTCTCCCTGCTGTTCCCAACGTGTGGGATGGACTGGGGTTCTGGGTTTTAGGGTGTAGTAGCCTGTTGTGTGTAAGTAGAAGGGAAACTGCGTGTGCACTTCGTGTGCGTTCAGGAGGGTGCTGTGCTTGGACCTGGAGAGCGTCTGTGTTTGAAGAACTAGGAAAGTACGTGTGTGGGACAAGATCTATACGTTTAAGTGCAGAAAAGAGGTCGTTCGTACGCGGTGAGCGAGTGTGCGCGAGTAAGCACAAGCGCCAGGGGCCGCCCGCCCGCGCGCGCGTCCGCCCGCCCGCCGGGCTCCCGTGGGCCGGCCGGGCCAATGAGCGCGCGGCTGCGGCGGCGGCGGGCGGGGAGGGAGCGCCGGGCTCCGCGGATGGATGCGCGGGCGGCGCGGCGCGCTCATTTGGCGCGGGCGTTGCTGGCTGGGGGCGGTGCAGCCACTGGCCCGAGACCGCGGCCGGGACCCGGGGCGGCGGGCGGCGTGGGCGGCGCCCGGGGCTGGGATGCGCCGGGGACTCCGTGGCGGCGGCGTCGGTGGCGGCGTGGGCGGCTGCGGGCGGACGAGGTAGCGCCGCGGCGCGGGGAGCCAGACGAGCCCGGCCGGCGAGCGGAGGCGGCGGCGGCGCAGGCACAGCGGCGGCCGCAGCCGGAGCCCGAGCGCCGCGCGCCCACCATGGCCGCCCAGGGCGAGCCCGGCTACCTGGCGGCGCAGTCGGACCCGGGCTCCAACAGCGAGCGCAGCACCGACTCGCCCCTGCCTGGCTCCGAGGACGACCTTGTCGCCGGGGCGCCCCTGCACAGCCCGGAGTGGAGCGAGGAGCGCTTCCGCGTGGACAGGAAGAAACTTGAGGCCATGTTACAAGGTGGGCATCCCCCCGCGTTCTCGGACTCCCTGTTTGCGCCCCCCAACTCCTTTCCGGACATCCCTGCCGCGCGCCCCAGCGCCCGCCTCTCCGGCCCAGAGCCGATTTCGTTCCCGGGTCCCCTTCCCTGCGGAGCCTGGGGACACCCGGGGAATAGAGATCTAGCGGGACTCTCCGCCCTCCCACGCCTCTCAGGTCTCTAGGCACCGGGAACCCTCTGCTAACTTGCCGGCTTCAGAGAAGCCTGAGGCCGGGTTTGTGCCGGCGCGCCCAAGTGGCACTTTGGAGATGCCAGCTTTAGCCCGGACACCTGGGCTGTGCCATCCGGACCCACTCAGACCGCACAGACTGTGTGATTCTCTCCCCACTCGCTGGCAGCTTTGAACCCTAGCTCTGTCTCTCTCTGTTTCTCTCTTTCCTCTTGTCAGTATCCACTTCCTCCAGCTGAGGGGCCTTGTCTGGCTATTGGAAAACTCCCTGCAGATGTCAAGGCTTAAGACAGGCGTTCCCGCCCCCCATCCTCCACCCTGGAGTAAGAGGGGCCGGGATGGGGGTGAGCATCCAAAGCTGGGGCTTGTGTCAGGGCAGTGGTGCTGGGTTGGAGGACAGTGTGTGTTCATCTCCTGACAGCTTATAAAACACATCTTGAGCTACACTAAGTTCATAAAAATTTTCCTGTACTTTGGGTGTCTGACTATGTCTTTCACAACTTGTTTTTTTTTTTTTTTTTTTTTTAACTCCCTAGTTTCTTTGGTACTTCCCGAGGCATCACAGCTTGAACCATGTTGGACTGGAAACACATTCTGTGTTTTAAGGGGAGGATTGGAGTTCTCAGAGTGATTGCTAAAATGTCCAAGGTCATTTTGCCATTCTTAAAATGGTAATTACTAGCTTAACTGCAGCCATGGATGTGGCTTATTTCCTTCACGTGGAGTGATAGGCATTTTGAATGACTGTCATACAGTACTGTAAAGGACCAGGCAGGCCTTAGTTTCACTAAGGGTGAGTAGTGGATTCATTCAGTAGCTAGTGTCCTTATAACAAGGGAGCATTGGAGCCTTCCAACTTTTTTTTTGTGTGTGGCTTTATGCATAACTTACTTTGACTTTATCAGTCAATGCATCGCAATATGGGAGCTATTTAGCCTCTGGAAATGCAGTGGCTTTTTAGAACATTTAAGCAGGTTATTTTAAGAGAGAACAACATGTTTTCCAAAACAATAACTTGGTGGAAACAAATAGCAGGAGTGTTTGGCAGACGTTTTTGGATGAGCTACAAATTCATCTCCCTTGCTGCTTATTTTTATTGATAAACATCCCTAGTGCTTGTCATGTCTCTCACTCTTCCTCTCTTTCCCCCCCTTAAATTATGTGACTTTAGGAGAGTTACTACTGCGATAAACGATTCAAATAAGAATATTGCCAAGTAGATCTGGAAATTAAAGCCCCAGTTGCATTTCGATAACCCATTTTAGTTATTTTGTTTGTTTTATGAATTTTTTTGACCTAGTTTCTGGTTATAAAACAAAATGTTACACTTATTCAGAAAAAATATTGCTGTGTGATTGTTTGGATTTAACTGATAGACCACATATCCTCCTGTTCAACAAGTTTCCAGTTTGCTTTCTGCATGAATTCGGAGTGATGGTGGCGCTTCTAATAATACTCCGTCTTCCTTACCTGTTTTTACCTGTGCACGTACAAATAACGACAGCGATGCTAGCTTCCAGGAAGCCCTCATGCATAACCTGAGCTTTAGAAGTGGATTTCTTTTTTGAAACAATTAATTTTCATTTAGAGAAAAATGAAATACAGGTGAGGCTTTTAGAAATTTTTTATTCGAAGGCTCTCCCCTTTGATACCGGTATTCTGTCATGAGATGGTTTAGTATTGCTTTGCAGTGATACTTTTTTTTTGTTTTTTGTTTTTTGTTTTTTTTTTACAGAAAATCTTAACAGAGTTAACCACCCAGTATGTAATAAAATATTCACATTTCTTCACCAGCCAATATGTAATAAAATATTCACATTTTAACCCCAAAGAATTCTCAAATGATTGAACATAGAGCTTTAACTTTCCAAAATTCCCAGTAAGTGAATTAAGCCATCGAAGAAAGTAAATTTTGAACGTGTTTGACAGTGGAACCAGTGCATAGTGTACCAGGCGTTTATGATGCATGGTTTCTAGTGTCACATTACATAGAACCACCAAGTTTGAAGGAACAAGACCAGTTTTCGGAACCAAACATAATCATGTGCCTTACTGCCTTATACCAGATGGTTGTAGTACATGTGGGCACTGGAATCTCACAGACCAAGGTTCAAATAAATCCCTATGGGGCATTGGGACAGTTCCTAGGCCTCTATTTGAGTTCGCTCATCTGTAAAATGGGACTGAAATTAGTACCTTACCCTTAGGATTTTAAGAATTAAAAGAGATCATGCCCAATAAGCTAAAACTTGTCACACTGGTAAATGATAAGAAATTAATATATATCAGTTTTATTATTATTAATACATATTACAATATAGATTTAAAAGATTTCTAGTGCCAATCACAATTTCTGACATATATTATATTCCTAAATAATGGGTCCAAAAGAACTTTGCAATTTTGTAATTGTAGAAATAAAACAGATATCAAGATAGCACTTTTCATTTGGAAAGTGCCAAGTAAGTGAAGTCTGCATTTGGTTGGGTTTCTGATTATTGTGAATTTGGATTTGCCATTTTTCTTTTCACAGTTGCCTTAAACTATGTGCAGGTTTCCAATTTAAATCAGGATAAATAAGATTATCTGCTTTTAAGTCTACATAGTGGGAATTGGCGATTGTAATGCTTGGAATTTGTTTCCAGAGAGAGTGTCCTGGGGGCAAGTTAATCTTTAATGGGTTGTATTTTTATTAGTAGAGAAATTCTTCTACGCAATGGACCAAAAATTCAGTGAGGTTAAAATATGGGCAATGGAGTAGTGGTCAAAGAAATGAAATACTATTCTTGGATGATCATTAAATTCCCACAGATTTGATATACATAAAACTATCAGAGAAAAATCACTAGTGTTTCTTTTCTTCTTTTTATTTTGCTTAATAACTACCTTGGAATAGCCATACAGAGTATTGGACATTTTTGCTCAAACCTAAATGAGTAATAAAATTTATCATCTTCAACAGTTTTGTAAATGGGAACTTACTTTCAAGTTTAGTTAAGGCTTTGATGGGTATGTTCAGTATTGGGATAGATACCATGGACAGCATTGTTTAAGGATAAAGAAAAATTGTTTTTAATTTATTTAATATTGCTCTTCAAAATTTAGATTTTACGCTCTATGTGAGATCATAGTGCTGATTCATTTAAGTTAGTTAAAATGAGAGTTTTGATATGTAAAGAGGGAGGAGAGGTATAGGGGGAAGTGTGGGAGAGGTAGAAAATAAATGGGTCAAGAGTCAGAAATAGTCTTTAGCTTGCCGGAGTCCTGAGAGGCAAAATGGACTTTGTATACTTTAACTCTTCTTTTTCATTTTCAGTCGTTGTTTACATCTTACGGTTATGCTTTTCTTTTTATGTTGAAAAAACTTGTATGTGTACAGTACAATGAAAAATTCCTACATCAAATTCAGAAGCCCAGGAATTTTCAAAGTTCTGAATCCCTTGAGTTTCATCATAGAAAGAAGGAAGTGTTAAAAGGGGGGAAATGTTCTGTTTTCATGAATTGAGGTTGACATCTGCTGGGCTTTTTGGATATTGCTGTTAATGACTTTAAAAACCACGTTGCATTTGTATAATAACAGGCACAACTGGGGTCATTTTCTGCTTGCTTGAACTAGCCACTGAGACAGCCTACCACACATTGATTAGAAGTAGAGCAGCAGTTATCTCTTTAATTTGACAAACTTCAGTGAAGATTGTCATATGCTTTGGTGAATACTCTCAGATCTTCTGCTGGGAGTAGGGAGAAATAAGCAAAAAGAAATGAAAATGGGAGTACTGGAAATGAATATAAATAAAAAGTAAGCTTACTATAGTTTTCTAGCTAATGTTTGATTAATGCTAATACACAACAAGAACAAATTACTTTATGAAGCTTAGTGGTTAAAAATACAGGGCTATGGGCCAGACCAGGATTTGAATCTTGGTGTTACCTTTCATTTTTTTATTTTATTGTTATTATTTTGTTATTTATCACCTGAGGATGTTTTTTTCATTGAATTTTTTTTTTTTTTTTTTTTAGAGCGTAGAAGGGAGGGAGGGAGGAAGAGAGAGAGAGAAACATTAATGTGAGAGAGACCCGTCAATTGGTTCCCTCTGCCCCAACTACGGACCCAAATGTGTACCCTTGATCAGAATCGAACCTATGACCCTTTTTTTTAATTAAAAATATATTTTATTGATTTTTTACAGAGAGGAAGGGAGAGGGATAGAGAGTTAGAAACATCAATGAGAGAGGAACATCGATCAGCTGCCTCCTGCACACTCCCCACTGGGGATGTGCCCGCAACCAAGGTACATGCCCTTGACCAGAATCGAACCTGGGACCCTTGAGCCCGTAGGCCGACGCTCTATCGCTGAGCCAAACAGGTCAGGGCGAACCTATGACCCTCTGGTTCAAAGGCTGACACTCTAACCACTGAACCAAACTAACCAGGGCTGGGCGTTACCTTTTAATAGGGAGCTAGGGAAAATTCATCACCTGCAGACTCATTTCTAAAAGGAGGTGTTGATAATAGTGCTTGCATCCTTAGGTAGTTGTGATAAGAGAATAAAGATGTATGTAAGACACCACAGTGCTGGCCACATAGGAAGTGCTGAATACATTAATAAAACCATATTCGCTATAAACTATAGTTCATAAAATTCACATTCTTGTATTGAAAATGAAAATCAAATATATTGGAACATGAATTAAGTGGTCTTATGATAAAACGGACAGTCACAGCTCTCAAAACATTATTATTGGCCTTTTCCCATTAGCTCACAGTGTCCCTCGTAAAGATGGTTGAGT